CTGCGCCCTGGGACCACCTCCTCCTTCCTCCTTCTTCCTCCTGCTGTGCCCTGGCCCAGCGACCCTGGAACAGCTGCCACATGCCTGGGGGACCCACAGGCTGTAATTACTACAGAGCACCTTCCTTTCCCCCAAGATAAGGAGGTGAGGGAAAAGGAGGGAGAGGAGGTGTGGCTGCGCGCGGCCAAGCTTAAACCCAGCCCGAGAGGGCAGTGTCGCAGGACAGACCCTGGGCGCGGCGTGGCGCGGGAGGGGCGGCAGGGTTGCAGAGATGGCCTGAGCCCTCTAAGGCTGGTGGCCCAGCCAGAGGAGGCTGACGGAGAGGCGAGAGGCGCGCCCCTGCCCCGGTAGGGTCCAGGAAGAGGAGGAGTCGGGGCCCAGAGCGTTTGGGGGCCCCACCCAGTCCCCTGCCCAGGGACTTGAGCCAGGGGCAGCAGCTTTAACGAGGAGATGCTGCTGCCGTGACTCAGCCCTCCAAAGGTGCCTCCATTTATTTTGTTTTTCCATCATAAAAACTCAAGCTGCAACTCAGCCAGATTCCCCAGCCCTGGCGGATGGGAGAACGTGGGCAGTGATGGTGAGGCCGGCTGAGAGGTCTGACTGACTGGCCCCAGTGCCCTTCCTGGAGTGGAGGGTTGATGGGTTCCCCCGGCTGGCCCCCATGGGGAAAAAGGGCCTGGGGTGCAGCCCCTCTAGGGATCCTTTCAGACCTGCCCTTGCTGCCTCTGCCCCGCCTCTGGAGAAGAGCTACACCAGGCTTTTCATCCGAGGGCCGCTCTGACATCTCATAACGAGTGCCAAGCTGGTCCAAGGGCCACTGCACAGCCCAGAGCTGCCATCTCAGATGCCTTCTTCCAAAGAGAAGGTCCAGATGATATGCTTCTCACTGCATCCTCCCAGCCCCTCATCCAAGACTGAGCCACTGAACCGTCCCAGTAAAATCAAGCTGGGAGTTGGGAGAGCCAGAGACCTTAAAGGTCATCTGATGCTCAAGTCCCTGCAAACGTCACAGCCAGCCTCTGTTTAAACGGTACCAGGAAACTCGCTGTTTCCGAGACAGCCCATTCTGTCCTTGGCTCTGACTGCTCCTTCCTGCCAAGATGGCACCGAGCACCTACCCCCTGCAGCAGACCGGCAAAACCGGTGCCCTACCTGACTACAGGGACTAGCCCAGCTTAGACTGGTCGGGTGGGTGTATTTAGCCAAGTAGAGGCTTGAGGAAGGAAAATGGAAGGCAACCTGTTCTGTCCCAAACCGGGCATGTAATCTCTTCCCCTAGAAACAGCACAAGAACCCTCCCAATCCCCAGTATGCTCTAGGTCTCAAGTGCAACCAGAGCCGGCAAGGTTCCTAGGAGCCTTCACTCCTGGCAAGACCCTAGCCTTGAACCAGCTGCTGACAGAAGACCTGGGAGTCAGGTCAGCAGGGATCTGGGTTGGGGAAGCCAAGATCTTTGCTCCCTGGGGTCAGACAACGCCTGGAAGAAGTCTGTAGCCTTTCTTCTCCTATCTTGAGACTCAGTGCTCTTGAAGCACGTGGCTACGAGGAAATCCCCCTCCAAGAACCAGGCTCCTGAGCCAACCTGGCTCAGCTCCCTTGATCCCATCCTCCCTGGCTTCTGCCACAGCTGAGGTTGGGGCCAAAATGCAGCAGGGGTCTGTGTGCAGTGCGGTGGGATCCTGGCCCGGAGTCCAAGCAGAGCTTATCCCTGGGAAGAAGCAGCAGGCTCGGTGTGGCAGACAGCACCCATTCCTCCCCTGACTCACCCTGACCACATGCTGTAGCCATTGTGCCAATGGGCAGTGCTGCCCCTCATCGGCTCCCACTGCGGCCCATGGCCATTCCTTCAGACTTGCTCCCTTGCCTGTTTGTCCCTGACCTAGCAGAACCTACCCTGGAGCCTCTGATGGACAGCTCCAGCCCTGGAGGGTGCCTCCCCTTCTTCCCCGGTTCCCCCTAGGGAGAGTGGGGCGAGTACAACCAGATCCCTAAGAATCAAGGGCAAGTTTCTTAAAGATCTACTACTGTTGCACAGCCATTTTCACGCTGGCCTCCGGTTGTGTTCTGGGCCTAGGAACTGGCCTAGTGGGGCCTAATCCTGGGGAGCTTCCCAACTGCAGGCTGGATTTACCTGTGTCTGAAGGCCCCCCTCTCCCTGCTCCCTCCCCCAGGGAAATCACTCTAAAAGGGCCTAATGGAACTGTGTCCTCCTCTCTTCCTCTCTACCTCCCTCCCTCTCTTTCTCTTTCCTTTTTTTTATTAGCATTTGTGGAATTTATTCCCAAACTCTCCTAATCTTCCGTACACAACCATTTGATTTGCATAACCCAACCCCCTCTCATAAAAACTGGCTGCTAGTTTAATTAAAAAATGTAAATTTGCTGTCATCTCGGGGCCTGGTGAATTAGGACGACATCGGCATTTTTTATTGCTAAAGACGTCCAGATTGATCCAGCCCTTGGCTGAACTATGGTGGAGAAAAAGGGGTCCTCATGGCCCCTGAGGGTCTTGAGGTCCTGCTGTCTCCTCCTGAGAAGCCTCGGTTCTCCCAGCACTGAATTACTTATGGCCGGAGCGCTTCAGGGCCTAGACCTGTCCGAGACAATGTCAACTCATGATCTAATGCTTATTGGGTCCCCAGTGCAGCAACCTTTCAGGGCCTGTGCCTCCAGCCTCGTACTGTGCTGAAGAGAAATTGCGTGTGGTTGCCCAAAAGAAAAGAGGCCCTCAGTGCATCAGCAACGAGCTCTGGCCAGTGAAGAGGTCCCCAGCCTTGGCTGTGTCCAGGAGTACATTCCAGAGAGCAAGGGAAGATGAGCACAGATTTAGCCCAGAGATGGTCTCAGAGAGGACCTCAGGGTTCCCACCTGCTTCCCTTTTTTTTGTAACAAGGGGGAAAAGTGCTTTTCTTCTGAAGTTCTGAAATTAAGTGAAACTTTCAAGTTCAAAGAAAAGGCTGAGTGGTATCACCAGATGACTCCTCCAGGAAACAGAACTTTGATACTCCCAACCTTCCCTCCCAGCGTGGCCAGAGTCCAGGCGTAGGTCCTGCTGGGACTGCCCCACTCTGGCTACAGAAGGGACCAGCTGACCTCAGCAGCCCTTCTAGCTTCTAGGAAAAGTTTCCAGAGCCTGTCCCTGGAGTACGGGGAGAAGCAAGCCTCTGTGAGACCCAGGACAGATGCTCTAAGAGGTCTGCCAATGCCCAGGCTCAGGAGGCCCTCCCTCCAGTCGGGCACCCCAGAGAAAGGTCTGGGGGTAGTGTATCCCCACAGCAGACTGGGATGACAGGTTGGTGTAGGGCAGGAGGATGGACGCCAGCTCCAGGTGGCACCCAGGTTAGAAGGAGGAAGACGAGGAGGGACCGCCCACCAACTGAGTAAAGCCTGGGTCTGCTGTGCCCGCCCCACAGGAGAGATTTGCCTGCCCCAGGTAGGGGGTGGTGCATTACTCCCCCACAGCCTATAAGGTCTGCTTCTTTGCCAGGATGGGTGGGGGCCTCTTTTCCGAAGAGGGTGGGGCCTGAGAGGGAGGTGATGAGACACCTGATCACTGGTGGGGGGCGGGTTGCTCTGCAGGAGCGGAGGGCAGGGAGGGGCAAGGTAGCAGCAGTGGCCTTAGACACCTTCACCACTTTGCCCAGCAGGGGGTGTCACACCCTTCCTGGGCACAGAGGTCCTCGGACCTCCACATCAGATTATCCAAGGTCACACTCTACTGGACTTAGTCTCAAAACTGTGTGCATGACCTGCTCCCCTACAAATACACACCCCCTTCCCAAAGCCAGCCACTGCGTCACCCACCCTGGGTCCCCCAGTGCTGCCTCTTGCTCTCTCTGCCCACTCTCCTTTGACCTCAGAAGGTCAAATGTCAGCTCATGGATCCCAAGGGGCAATGCCATGAACTTGGCCCCATTATAAACAACCACTCTACAGCCACCAAAACACCTATTCTATAAATGAAACAGAAGGGTTCAGAGGTCAGTCTCAATGAATGATCAACCTGTTTATTACTGATTTTCTTAGTAACATTTAGGAAGAAGACAGCTACTTTTGTCAGCCTAGGTTCTGAGGGTCCTGGTCAAAATTTGGTTTCAATAGAGAGCACTAACGGAAAGCCTGAAGAGCTTAGGGTAAACCTCCTCCTGAGCTCAGGTTGGAAAATACTGAATAAAATTAGATGGAAACCAACAAAACACCAAAATCCCAGTGTAAACTCTGCCCCAGGCCAGCACCATGCCAGCCTGTAGCCCTATCGTAGGTGCATACTAGGTCCCCAAAACCCAGAGCCTTAAATTTCGGAGTTTGTCTGGTCTACCCTCTCCCAGGCGGGGACAAGAAAGGGGAATGGGAGAGAGTCCTGGGCCCCTCACTTTGAACTGATAACAGCCGCCTCATCCCACGGATTCTCAGGTGAAAAACACTCATTAGCCATAATAAGCAGCTTGATCATCCGACACAGCCTTGTCCCAAATAAATTAAATTCCTTTACCTTGAGACAGTCGCCCTGAAACCAGACTAACCACCTTTCCCAACAGGACGCTGCTTTCAAAAACTAAACCACCCCCCACTAAAAAAATAAAAACACACACCCCACAGCCAGACACACCGAGATCTTTGAGGGGAAACACACACACACACACACACACACACAGAAAACACACAGAGCCATTCAAAAAACACGGAGGACAAAAACCCCCATAAAAAACCCCTAAATCCTCTCTCTGGGTGCCCCCCAGCTCCCTCTCCCCTCGGTTCTTTCACAATGACAAGCATCAAATTAGTCACAGGCACTAAGCAAGTAACAAATAATAACAATAATATCGCCAGACGCCTGGCGATCCAGAAACCAGGGCGAGAAGTGCAGCTCGGCCCCGGACCCTCTGCAGGCCAGCCCCCACCCCCTGCTCAGCTGCTACCTCATTGGGCTAAAAATAATAACTTCCGTAAAAGAACCGAAAGAAAAGTGAAAGAGCCTCCCCGGGCTCCCACCGCCGGTACCTGTACCGAGATCCATTCTCCTCTCTTCGATCCCAAACTCTTCGAGGAACACCAAAAACCGAAGAGGAAAAAAGAAAACATCTGTTTAGTCTCGGGCAGTGCCCCCAGCTGCCCAGCCCGGCCGCCCCCTCCGCGGGCCGCGCGCCCCATCGCGGGGCAGACGAGCCCCCGGGCCCCGGGGCGCAGCGAGAAGGGGGGCCCAGGAGGGAGAGCGAAAGTTTCTCCCTCCCGCCCCTCTCGCTCTCGCGCGCCGGCATTGCACACTCGAAGCAGCTCCTCTCTGCTCTCGAGTTTATTAAACTAAAAGAGAAACTATTTATAGACGCGGCCCGGGTCCGGGGCCACGGCCAGCCCGCCGGGCCGAGGGGCGCCCCGCCCGCGCCGGCCCTGCCCCGCCCGCGCCCCCCGCCCCGCGCCGGCGCCCCCTACCCTCCCCCGCCCCACTCCGGTACTCACCATAGTCGGAGAGTCGAAAGCCGAATTCACTTAAATAATCAACTTTCATAATACTTAATTAATGCCTAATTGCAACTGATTACTCCCCGAATAACAAGTTGTTTTAAAGCCCTGATGTCATTGCTCCTGACGGTAACACTCAGGGTAACAGTTTGGCAGGAGGGAGCGGGCGGGCGGGAGCGGCCGGGGGCGCTGCCAGGCGCCGAGGTGATTGGCAGGGCGGCCGCGGCACCGCCCCCTCCCGGCCCGGCCACGCCGCCCGGGCAGGTGAAAGAGCAGAGCCGGGCCGCGCGCGCGCGCGCCCGCCCGCCCGCTCGCCTGCCTGCCGCGGCACCGGAGTGAATGGGCGCGCGCTCGCCCGCCGGCGCCGCTCCCGCGCGCGCCCCCGGCCCAGGCGGCCACCTTATTGGCTCGGCGATTGCCCAAACCTCAGACTTGGGAGGCGGGGCCGGGGACTCGGCGTTGGAGCCGGGTGCTCGCGTCCCCGCGCAAGTCGGGCGGGACGCCGGCGGGGGCGCGCCCGTCCGCTGCGCTTGGCGCTCTGGCCCCGCGGCGCGCCTCGACGGCGGCCGCGCGCGGACTCTCTCCCTGGCGCGCGCAGCGGCGCAAACTTTTCCGCGCGGGCGGGCGCAGGTGTGAGCGCCTCGGGGGCGCGCGCCTCCGAGCTTCCCCCATGAGCGCCCCGCTGGCTCTGGGTGCCCGGACGCTGGGGTTATATCTTCCCCCATACCCGGATCTCCCCACGTTGAAAGCGGTGGTGCTTTTTTAGGTCGGGGAAGGACAGCCGGCGCTGGACCGGGGGAACGCGCGTCGGCCTCGCGCTGCTCCGCACATCGTTCCCGCTGCGGGCCCCAGGAGTGCGGGGACCCTGGGCTTTTCCCGCCGCTTCGGTTTTAGACTTTGCTTTGAAATGGGCCCAGGCACCCTGCCCACCCCGAGCCCCCCTCACAGCCTTGCTCACTGGGCCTTTTTCCTCCGCCTGCCCGGCAGTTCATCCCCCGGCTGAAGTTGGGACCCGAGGCAGGCCTGCACCTCCTTCCTCCCTCACCCCGCCTCTGCGGCAGCCCGGCCGCCTTTCCAACAAGCGCTCCCACAGCAGATCTGCGCCATCACTTGGGCTTCCTTCCCGCTCTCTTGTCTCTGTCGTGCCCCGTGAAGGGCCGTGGGGGACAGGGCACAGTCTCCCCTCAACCAAGGAACTGCCATCTGCCCCTCCAACAATGGCCATATTTTCTTCTCTGCCAGCTTATCTCTGGACCAGGATGCCTTGTTATCTCCTTGTTTTCCCCCAGAGAAAACACTTGGTGGGTCTTACTTTGACGATGGTGAGTCCCCAGACATCCCTGCTTCGACATATACGTTGAGATTCTTTATATTTTAGTGGTCCAAGTTACCCATTTGGGCCTGGGGCACTCTAGGAGGGAGGCAGCCAGGTGGGCAGGAGGTGTTGCTAGTGAAGTACCTGGATCTCATTGTCACTAGCTCTCTCTCTGACCCGTCTGCACCCACCCTGCTGCCTTCCTCCCCCTTCTTGTTTCAGGCGAGGCCACGCTGCCTGCAATGAGGGGAAGGGAACAGGACCCTGGCTTTCTCTGGTCTTTGGACAGCATTCCGCAAAACGGCACTGGCTTATTTTTGCAATATTTCTATTTTGCAAAGAGAGGGAACCGAGCAGGCTTTGGGGAAAAGAAGTCAAGAGAGTTACCAATCTACTCTTTCTCCCACTTTCCCCTTCTTTTACTTTTCTTTTCTTTTCCCCCCCTTTTCCCTCACCCTCACCCACCTTTTTATTGCTTTTTAGTTCCAAATGGCCTCCCAGGGACTGCCCTCCCTGATGCCTTCTTAGCAACCCCCGTTTCTGGTTGTTACACAACCTTCCGCCCCTCAGGCCTGCCCTATCCCTAAGTAGGAAGAGTAGCTGAAGAGGCCCAGAAGCTTTACTGAATTCAGTCCCTGGCCCTAAAACTCTGAGTAAGTGAGCAGAGCTCTTAATCCAAGCCATATGCTACCCAGGGAGTGGTGCAACTGCTGGGCAACCAGACAGAGAGGACCATGGACTTCCGCTCACCACACAGGATCTCAGAGAGAGCACCTTTGCATCAGGACAGCTCTGGGGTATACACATGCTTCTGGATGCTCCCACTCATGACTCCCCAAAGCAAGGCTTACAGCTTTGTGTAGTTATAATAGGTAATTGATCCAAGCCCAATCCTGAGTGTCTGCTTCCCCATCTGGGGAACTGAAGTATAGAAGGGAGCCTGAAGACACAGGGTAGAGGGTCGGGGTGGAAGGGTAGTGCCTGGGTGCATTTGAAGGTGTCTGCATGCACGGGGAGCTCCCTGCATATGGGACCCATGTGGCCGGCTGGTTGCCTATGAATGTCCTGGGCTTCTGTTGATGGTAGTCAGGGCATGGGAGGGCATGCCTTCCAGTTACCTAGGCAAGGTCAAATGGATTGGCTACACAGTCATTTGGGGGCCTCTGGTGGACAAAGGCTGGAGAGGAATGGCTGAAGAAACAGAACGAAGAGAGCTGGAAGGAAGCAGGGCAGGCAGGGCCAGTGAGGACGGTGGTGGAGGGAAGCGCTGGGCTGCCTGCAGGTCCTCTGCTCTGCCAAGACGATGACCTCAATCAGCCACTGCAGGCTGAAGAGGCCCAGCCTAAGAGTGAGGGGCCTTCGTGGAGGAGAAGAGGCCGGAGAAACACAGAGAAGAAGGCCACCATGGTGTTACGATTTGAGAAGGTCCGAGAAGGCTGAAGCATCACGGTTGTCAGAGGCCACATTATGGTACCCAAATTTCTCCTTCTTTCTCTTTGGGTGTATGCTGTGCTATAAGCCAGAATTCTGGCATCTCTGAGGGTATGGCCCATTTTTGCCTTGAGGACACTGATATGGTGACACCCCTCAGACCCTGAGGCCAGGACGCAGTGGGGACATTCGTGCCTGGGATTCAGGGGATGGTAAGCTCACTGCCACAGTTCCTCCTGGTCTTGAGGCCTTGGGCTCAGAGTCCCCAGCTCCTCCTTACACACCCTACCCGGAGAGAAGGTGTGGAGGCCTGCCCCACAGCCCACCCACTGGGCCTCACTGGAGTCCAGGGAAAACCAGCAGCTCTCCTCAGGCAAGCTCCCATGGCTGGCTTCTGGTCTCCTCGCACCCCCAGCCCACTCATTCTCTCTTCCTCCCCAGCCCGGGGCCTTCTCACTCACCAGCCTGTTTACACACCAGGTATCTCAGGCTTTATCTGCTCTCATTTTGAATTTGTAACTTTCACATAAACTTAAACAAAGCTCTTTTGTTCTCACACCCCACCCCAGGATCCTAATAAACTGGTTCCCTCTTAGGCGACTGGGCCAGAGCACAGAAGCCTTGGCCAAAGGACTGTGTGCATGTGAACAAGCATGTTCGCACCTGTGTGGAGGCCTTGTGATTGTGTGTGAGCACACAACCCCAGGAGACGGGGCGGGGGGGTGGTACGGAGAGCACTGAGTGAGCAAAGTGCGGCGCGCAAGACGTCATGAGCCATGGACGGGTGGGGGTCGGGGCAGGGGGTAAGCAGGGATGAAGAGACGACAAAGGGCAGAGAGGAGCCACAGGGTGGGTGATGGAGTGAGGGGCCGAAGCCAGGCTCAAGCTAAGTGTAAGGCAGACACAGGGATGGCGCTATGCGGGATCGGGCTGGCACGGCCGCACGCTTGGCCTCGTAATCCTGTTAGCCAGCAATCTCCATTCCGAAAGAGCTTCATTTCTTTGTGAATATTTGTAAACTAGATATCTAATGGAAAATTATAGGAAAATTATAGTGAAATTCATGACGGAGAAATCCGATTATCCCTAATTCAATTATGCCATCTTAGCCCACACAGCACATTTCCCATTTTTTTCCCATAAATACCGATGCCAGGGGTCCCGGTAATCAAATAAAATTGAAAATCATCTTCCCATTAAATTCAATTAGCTGCAATTTCTAAAGCCTATCAGAGATTTTAATTACTAAATTATAAAATTCTCCAATGCTAAATTGAAACCAAAAAAATTGCACATCCTTATATTTCAGAGGAAAAAAAAAGGGCTAGCAAAATCCTTGAAAAATGCCCTCTTGTCTGTGCCCAGCTCCAAGGCAGGCTCCCCACCTGGAGGGACCTCAACCTGCCACCTACCTACCTGGCCAGGATGAAGCCAGGAGGGCAGAAAGGGCTCTGTCGGGGGAGGGACGGAGGCATAGTCATTTAGCAGAGGGGCAAACCACCCCTCCCACCAGGTACCTTAGGTCTGCTGGTCCCCAGAAAGGACCTGCCTTCCTCGCTAGCTGTCCTGGCTCCTGAGACACCCTCAACTCTGTCCCTGACTGAGAAGTCTGTAAGTGCCACTTTCTTGGCCCACGGACAGGTCTTGCTCAGGTCCCAGCTTGGCTTCAGGGCTCTGAATGGTTCTAGGGCAGCAGAGCAGAGGTGGCCACTTACTACCCAGGTGTTGACTCTCCAACCTCCCTGCTGGCGGGTGGCCTGGGCTCGGTCAGAAGCGGCAGTAGGAGGGAGCCCAGTCTGACAGTGGACAGATACCATGATATCATGGGATGGTT